AAAATAATAGAAAGTCAGGTTTGGAAGGTGGCCCAAGTTTGAGATGCAGCAAAGTCCTTGCAACCAAGACTGCTCCCAGAGGCTTGGCCACTGAGGCAGATGATATACAGAGACAGCTGGGGTTTGTCATGAGAGGCCAACCCTGCTGAGACTCAACAGTGCCAGAACCTTTCCAATGGACCTCAAATGCCCCAGGGAACTCTGTCCTATAGAAGGACCCAGGGCTCCTGGTGAGTAAGTGCATTCCTCCCAGGGACAAGGGCACTCTACACAGCCCAGGCCCAGCCTGACTGACTGCAACTAACTAGAGAAGCATTTACCTTGAAGAGCTTCAAAAGCCACAACTGCCCCTAGCTCAGGGTCAGAGAAACATCCTTGAAGATTTATCAGGTCTTGCCATGACCTGGTTTGGATCTTTCTTGCCAAACGGATCCATTATTAGTCCTGTCTTTCTGATCAATACCTTTGTCTAAATTCTGCCTACAGACCTAAACCATCCTGGTTAAAGTCAGCCCAGTTCTCTTCTGCCTCTTGTGAATTCTTTCTTGAGCATTTTCAATTCTTCTTCTAAGAGACTGATGACTCCAAATAAGGTGACATTTTAATACCCCTAGCTGTAAAAGCACTTATCTAAGCTAGAAAATGAGACCAAATTCTTATCTCCTGGTATAATGTGTTTGATTATCTTGATAAGTTTTATCACACAGGTGAAATAAAAAAGGTCAAAAATCATGTTATTCCAGAAACATTCTTCCCCTAATATAATGCTATGTTAAATAGAAAAAATTCAGCAAACGGTCAAGTCAGAGGAAAGGAGCCTTTATATTTGGAATCTACTCATTAACTTAAAATCCACAAACCTGTTTTACACAATAATGTATTCCTCCTCCCCATTTCGACATATTATCAAGTCATAATGAGAAAGTTTATATCTCATTTCACAGAGCAATAAAAATAGGAGTATCCCCTCAATGTATAAATGAGGAAACTGGGAGTCAGAGAACAAATTGCTTCAGATTAATTCAGCCAGTCCAAGAAAAGGGATGAATGATCAAAGCCTAATTCCAGTATGGCCAAAAATAACAATATGGAAAAGGAAAAAATACCTGGAAAATCTACAACCAGGGGCACAGCCTCCCAGCCTCCCAAAACCTGGATCTACAGAGCCAATCCTTACCCATGGCAGCTTTGGGAGCATTTTTGAAGTGCAGAATATTAAGAAATGTGGCAGGTATTATGTCTGGAAGGTCTAGACACCAGGCTGACAAGTGGTAGCTATCCACCAGTTACAACCAGTGATAACCAGGTGCATCATCCACTTGGGGCTGGCTCATGAAAGGTGTGGGCATTGTGGCCATGTTACAGGGACCACCTGGAGAGCAGGGAGAAGTCTTGACTTTAGGTATCTATCGACTTTGGGATGTGGCCTTGACCATATTCTCCTTCTATAAGCTAAGAACTAAACATAAAACAGAGCAGGTAAGTGTATCAAAAATATAGATTTAGCCAGAGAATGCAAACGCTCTGCTAGCACCATGGAGAGCTCATATATGTACAGATAGAGAAAACCAGACAATTGACCTTAGCCCTGGCTTGAGCATCATGACAGACCCTGGGCTGGGAAGTAATAATTCAGACCATAGATGTTTAGCTTATGATAAATATCTGGGGCTCACTGCTTAGCCTACCCTTTGCAATTTCTTTTTATTCATTTTAACCCGATATCACCTACATACAAATGTTTAGTCATGACGGAGGGTAATGTATGAGTGTGAGAAAGTTCTGGAAGTCTCCTTCCAAGACCATCAGCTAAAGTTTTCTCCACTTCAGAACAAGTCCATATCCCAGGCCAGAGATATCACCAGTTACAGGCAAAAACATTCACTGACAGCCAGAAGAAGAAACCACAGTCAGAGGGGGGAATACTGCAGAAGAGGGATTAAGACACTCACTCTCTCACACAATTTTTTAAACAAAGAATTTAAAGGACAAGAGCATGAACCCAGCCTTTCTTAAATGCCTCACTATTGACTGTAAGCTTCTAAGCAAAGTTGATTTCCCCTGTTCCCAAATAATATTCCACCTGCTTCGGTGGCCAATAGCTACATCAAAGGTGTGGGTGTTGTGGCCATGGCTACAGGAACCACCTGGAAAGAAGGGCGAAGTCCAGGCTGCAGATGTCTGTCAATTTTTAGGATGTGGCCTTGACCATATTCTCCTTCTTTAGGCTGGGAACTAAACATAAAACATAGGGCCAGTAGGTATGAAGAATATAGACTGAGCCAGAGAGCAGAAAGCTGCTCCGCTAGCACCATGGAGAGCGATGCCTAGTCACAGTAGACTCATGCTATTTGGGGTCCCCTGCCCTCTCCACTTACCTGCTGTCTTTCTATAGCAGAGTGTCACGACTCAGCTGGGAGTACTGGTGATGGCGTCACACATGGTCAAGGGGCTAGACACTGCTATTAATATAACCCACTTTTCCCCTTAGTACTTTCTCACTGCAGTAATTCATTCCACCTGCAAGTACTTGAGCTGTACCTGAGTGGCTCATTTATTTGCAAAGAATAATTTCACAAGCATTAAAAAAGTAGGCAATTAGCTTACTCTTAATCTTACTATGCCACCTGGCTGGCAGGTGATCTCCTGCACCAGGCAATGATGCAGGCATTCTGGAGTCATCTATGCCTCTTGCTGTACATGTTACTTTGCCTCCATCACCAAGACCCCTTCAAATGTTCCTCCCTAGAAAATCTCAAGTTCTCAACTGAGCTTGTTATAGAAGAAGGCTTCCAAACCCTTTGGGCAGCTGCCATCTAAAAACTGTTTTCCATATTTAGCTAGAGTCCACAGTTTTCACTGAACTCATTCATAACATAAGTATCAATAACATAAGAGTTTGCTTGGAAGTATGTTTCCTTTAGAGAAGTTTGCTGGGAAGGATGTTTCACCACTAACATAACGTTAAGAGAATAATCCCCACTCACATAACGTTAAGAGAACCAGAAACACCCCCTGGAAAAACCTTAAACATCAGTTGCTCTTTGCTCTTCGAATGAGCATTAAGGGTAGATTTCTGCGGCTCCTCCCTAGCCCTCACCCCAAAACTATTTTTCCCACTGACTTCTAGGGCAGCTTACCTGAAGGGTGAGGTGATCAGAAAGTTGAACAAGATGAAACATTCAAGCTAGAGAACACAAACGGAGCAAGGACATTTGCCCAGCCTCTTCTTCCTCATTCTCCAGCTCTCTCTCTGCCATGTGCACAAATCACCCATTTGGGCACATTTTTTACCCTAGAATTCTAACCTCTCTGTTCAAGCCTTTACAGTGACCACCAGACAGTGCCCCCTCACCCCTACCCCCACACTAGGACTTCCCATCAAGATAAACCAACCTTGGTAATGGTTCTTACCCAGAAAAGCACATTGGAATTACCAGTAGAGGAGGTATGGGGGATGTATGTGTACCAAAAATACTCATACCTGGTGTTTATTCTGGAGGTGCTCATTTAGTAGGCCTATAATGGATGTCCGGAATCTTAACTTTTTAATAGCATCATAGATAAGGTGGATGCACTCTCAGTTGAGACGTTCTAGCTTAGAGCCTTCCTGGGGGCTTGTGAGAAATACAAAGCCATGAGCCTACCCCAGGCCTACTGTGTTAGAATCTGCATCTTAACAAGGCCCTCAGGTGATCTGTATGCACATTAAAATCTCAGAAGCACTGGCTTAGAGCACATACAGGCTAATAGGTTACTGTTCACACCAGCAACTACACATCTTGTACTTTTATAATGAAGGCTTCACCCTTGTTAAAGGAATTTCAAATATCTGGGAGCTTGATCCTACAGAAGCAGAGAATAAATATGGGAGCCTGGGGCTTTACAGGCACTCTAAAAATCACATCATGACTCATGGGGATAGATGCCTATTTTGTTTATGTGTAAGGCTAGACCTTTGAGTTTTCTTTTCTTTTTGAGACAGGTCTCATTCTGTTTCCCAGGCAACAACAGAAGTTTTAGCATGGGGGTGTGAATTAGGGGGCCTGTCTGATGGTCACTGTAAAGGCTTGAACACAAAGAAGTCAGAATTCTAGAGTGAAAATGTACCCAAATGGATGATTTGTCCACATGGCTGAGACAAAGTACAGTGGTGCTATCTTTTTTTTTCTTAATTATGCATTTTAAATATCAATGTGTACCTTTGTTTTTACAGTTATAAATTTTCTCATCTGTTTTAGACAAAAGCTTGTAATAGTTTTGAATCCAATAAGATGTTGCTTTCAATTTGAAATGTTTTGTGTATACATGTAAATAAAAAATAACACAATGTATGACTCATCTGACAGATGTTGAAGATCAATAAAGGCCTATTTTTCAACATGTAGTTAGAAAGAGAGGGAAGCAAGCCAACCTCTCTACACTGTATTTTTGCTGGCTTGTTTTTGCAGTGGTATCAATAGTGATTTCTGGAGGGAAGCATGTGACGTCAGCCTATCTAATTAGGATCAGATACCACAATCAACAAGAGGGGTAGAAGAGATGGGGAAGGGGGAGTAGGTTAGTGTTAAATATCAATTTTTTAAGTGTGCATTTTGTTCTCTTTCTAGATACAGGATTAAAAACAGGCCAATGAGAAAAAAATTGTTATAATTGGGAAAAAACTGCAATCAAATCGAGACATAATAGCCAAATTAAGTTCATTTAATAGATTGCATATATAAATGCTTAGCCATACTCTTAGATCAACTCTTTAAGAGTAGAAATTTATGTCTGATTTTCATGCTCTAGATACCACCTTTATTATTTTTTACAGTAAGTTCTGGTATTCAGATACCCACTTGTACACTGACAGCTTTAAGAAAAACAGGACACAGAAAGAGTTGTCATTTTTAGCAGCAATGAAATACCGCTAACCCCATTTTACGTACCTAATTCAAGTCACTATCAGAGGTGAGTGAACCACAAAGTCTCCAGGTACAAAATTGCTAGTTCATTTTAAAACTAATAACTTGAAATTACCCTTGCCCCCAACCCTATTACATCTTTTTATAAACAGCAAACATTGTGCTATTTTATACATAGGCTAGCAGGCTTGTTTCAATATGAAAGTGCTAATTCATTTACAGATTTTTATAATTGGTTATGTAGTGCTACAATAAATGTCCAATAGTCTACGTAGGAACAATGATGAATGAAAATGATGAAGATTGAATAAGGCTATCAGATTATCTCATCATATTTACATATAAAGAATACCCAATGGTAAGGAACAGACAGAAACTGGACAAATACTCATAGGTGTAAAACTTACATCTACCTTTGAGCTTTATACCGTAAATGAGACATTTTAAATAGTCCTGTAGCCCATGCCTATTTTTTTCCTCAGAAAAAGAAAATCTGCCTTCATGACATCCCCTCGTTTCAGATTTCCACAGGGTCACTTTGAAGCTTCAGAGTTAAGATCTTACTTTCTTCAAAAAATAAAGAAAATTCACCCCCTAAGCTCCCTCCATCCCCCCATCCCAAAAATCCTGCTGGTTTCTTTTCCATTGCCCGGTTGCATGATCAGGTCCCATCTCCTGGGATTGATGGGTTTTTTGTTCATCTATTGATCATGAGTTTAGAACAGATAACATAGTTCTGGAAGCACTACTAGAAGGAACACAAGCTCTTCACTACAATCACACAGCAGGAAAGAAAGAGGTAACTGGATTCATCCCTGGTGCTGGGCCTCCAAAATTTAAAGAACTTGGCACAACTGGAGCACTGAATTCGTATCCCCCATGCTTCTCCATCATTTTGGATCCATGGGCTGCTCTTCCTTGATCAGCCAGAGTTGCTTTGTCCTGTCACTGTTTTCTTTGTTCTGAATTCATTAAGACCATGAGTCAGAGCCTGATACCACATAGAATTACAATTTTGAATAGTTTGAAAGATAGCTTTAAATGTCTGATACTCATCAACAGGGTTATCTTCATCATCAATGATTGTGGAATAGCCTTCCATAGCAGTCTCTTCAGCATCTTCTTCCCAATCTTCATCATCTCCATCTTTGCCTGCCTCCTTAGCTAAGATCTCCAAATATTCTTGCCCATCTTCATCGATATCATCTTCATCATTCCCCACACTTCCTTGGTTTCATCCTTATCTTCAGCTTCATCATCATCATCACTGTCATTCTCATGTTCTGCATGGCAGGCATATGCTCTTTTTAATCCATTAAATAAAAGGATAAAAGCTGGCACAATCTGTCCAGGAACCTGGTTTAAACCTTAGGGTATCTGTTCCATCTTAACAAGAGCACAGAATCCAAGAACACACATCTTTCTTCTGTCATGAAGCCCCAAGAAACAGTCAACATCATTAAGCCACCGTGTAATAAAATGATTTGTAACTGGTTCAACATTATTAGTGAAGTGAAGATTTTCTAAGGCATTGAGTAGTAGGTGTGGATTATAATACAAGGCTGCAATTGCAACTTGCATACACATAGTCAAAGTTCACTTATCTTAACCTCTCCTGTCAGTCTTTCTAAGGCTGCTTCCACAAACAACGGAATGCACTGGTCAATGCCCCACCCTTTGTGCTACAGAATGACCTCCAACAATTTCACTGCATGACACTCTGCATCTTCTCCTGCAACTCCTGAAAGAATCCTTTTTGCACATACTGTATATCATTTCAAGATACTTGGTATCAGACAGAAGTGTAACAACTGTTACATAACTATGAAGGAGAGGACTCATATTTGTAATTAAAGCCATCCTGCTGAAAGACTTCAAATATAAGGGGTAGTAGCTGCCACATCTGTGGAGACACTTGTTGACATATCAAGCTATGTGCTAAAGAGAAGATCTCCTCATAGAATTCTAAGATATGCTGTTGTGAGACAGTACCAATGACCTGTAAGCAGATTCCCTCAAGCTGTTGGGTTATCTCTTTATGACCTTCAACTACACTAAGAAGTGTGTCAATTGTAGTCAGAATTCCCGTATCAGTAATCCAGATGAATTAAATGCTACAGCATGTATTATTTGGGATCTGGATTTTTTTTTTAACTGAGGATAATATATTTGAGACTCAACAATGTGTCATGGGTATCTCTAATACACTGCTTTTTCATTGCTGAGAGTATTCCCTGATATAAATAGACTAAAATTTGTTTTGCATTCATCTGCTTAAGGACATGATTTTTTCCCTCATTTTAGTTACTATGAACACTGATATATGAGGTTTTTTTGTGTGGACTTGCGTTTTCATTGCTCTTTGGTAAATGAATAGAAGTAGAAATACCAGGTCTTACGATAAGCGTATATTTAACTTTAGAAGAAACTGCCAAACAGATTTCCAACATGTTAATGCTATCCTACATACCTACAAACAATATATATGTCTTTTTTATTTTATTCATCATAGTGGTTATCCCATTGTAGTTTTCAATTGCCTTTCCTTGATGAGTAATTAAATGGAGCATCTTTTCATGTGCCTTTGGCCATCTGTGTGTGTGTGTGTGTGTGTGTGTGTGTGTGTGTGTGTGTGTCTGTGTGTAGTGATGTGTCTGTCCAAATCTTTTGCCTATTTAAAAAATTTATTTTTAATTGAGTTGTATAAGTCTTTTTTAATATATTCTGGATTCAAACCCTTATCAGACTAGTCTGTGGCTACAAATTTCATTTTCTTAATGGTGTCTTTCTTAATAATGCCTTTGATAAAGCCCAGTGTATTATTTTTTTCTTTTATGTTTCAAATATTTTATGTCCTAAGAAATCTTTGCCTATGCCAATGTTAAAAAACTTCTAGTTTTATAGTTTTAATATTTATGTTTCAGTATACTATCTATTTTGAGTTAATTTTTGAGTCTAGTTTAAAGCAAAGGTTGAATTTCATTTTTTGCATATGAGTATCCAATTTTGTAGAACTATTTATTGAAAGACTATTTCCCCACTAAATATCTTCTTAACATTTCATCACTACCAGATTCCTCATTTCCCTTTCATAGTCATACCTACTTCCTTCCAACTTTCCTTTCATCCTCTTCTTATTAACTCTTACCAATCACTAATCTGTTTTCCATTTCTACAATTTTGTCATTTCATGAATGTTGAATAAATGAAATCATAAAGTATATAACCTTTTGGAATTTGCTGTTTATTCTTTGCATGTATCCATGCATGATGCTCTTCCTTCATTTATACAGATCTAAGTTTCATTGATAGTATTTGCCTTTCATCTGAAAAACTTGCATTTTAGGTCTGCGGGTGAATAATTCTGTCAGCTTTTGTTTGACTTGTTTTTATTTCATATTTATTTTTTGCATGGTATTTTTATTTGATATAGAATTCTAGGTTGACAGTTTGCTGTTTTTTTTACAGATCTTTAAAGATGTGATTTCATTTTCTTCTGGTTTAAAAAGTTTCTGACAAAACATGGGAGTATTGTTATCTTCGTTCCTCTGTATGTTTTTTGTCAGCTCTTAAAATTTTCTCTATCAATTTTGTTCAGTAATTTAATCATTAACTCCTTCAGTGTGATTTTATTTTGTGTGTATACTTCTTGGGGTTGTTGAGCTGCTTGGATCTGTGAGCTTATAATTTTCATAAAATATGAAAAGTTTTTAGCTGCCACTTCTTTGATATTTTTTCTGCCCTTCTTCCTTTCTGGGACTCCAATTACATGCTTATTTACAACGGCTGTTTTAAAGACCTTGTTTGTTAATTCTATTTTCTCTGTCATTTTAGGTCTACTTCTGTTAACTGATTTTTCTCCTAGTTATAGGTCATGGTTTTTTGTTTGTTTGTTTTGCTTTTAGGTATGCCTGGTAATTTTGGATTGGATGCTAGACATTGTGCCTTCATATTGTTGAATGTCCTCTTTAATGGATGTTGAACCGTATTGTGACTGGCAGTTAACTTATTGACATATTAGCATGATCCTTTTTTAGGCTTTATTAAAACTTTTAAATAGACTTTAGGGCTTACTTAGCCCTATAACTAAGATGTGACTTATTCTGGAATGCCCTTAATATTAAGCAAGGACTCTAAACCCTGGCTGGTAATAACTCAAAGTTCTACCAGTTCTGTATTGCCTCTAGAAATATTCAGCTTACAGATACCTGTAATTCTTTGCCTGGCTTATGCAGTTTCAGCCTACATATCACAGTCAGCCAGAGTTGCAAAAGGCACTCTATAAAGATCTTCAGCGTTTTCTCTACTGAACACATTCCAGCCACTCAGCTGCTTCAAATTCAAACTTTTGTCTTCTCAATTCAGTGATATTATGCTCTTCTTGAGTCTGTATTATGGTCCAGAAAGTATCTCCTGGCAGAAAGCTGGTATTATCATAGGGCTTATTTCATTTGCTTCCCTTCTCTGAGGAGTCACAGAACTATACTTTCTAGTAACCAAAAGGAGTTTTTTCATAGATTGTTAACTGGTTTTCTAGTTGTTTACAGTAAGAGGGTAATTCCAGCTCCAGTCACTCTCTCATGTCTGGAAGTAGAAGTCATTGATTATCTATGTTAATACAGTGAAAAAAAATCTAATGTTGTCCCTCTTTCCATCCTCACCCCATGCCTCCACTCCAATACTCTCTCTTTGATGTGCAGTATCCAAGGCTTGAGTTAGGTCTAATGAATATATCTAAACACAGAACACTTTGAGTTTTCCAGCACAAGAATTGAAATGAAAAAAGCACAGGATACTCTCCTAGGTGATATTCTCTGACTCTTTTTTACCCTTCTGTGAGCAGTGTCACCCAGGTGCCCTCACTCATCTATTTTAAATATACTCACATCTCTGCTAACAGATTTAGCCTCTGTTAATCAGGTAGCTTTTCATTAATGTTCTTATCCTGGTCCCAGCATCTTACTAGTCATGCTTCATTAGTAGACATGTTAAGTCTGAAACCTTAGTTCCTCTTAGTTTCTCGGTATCTGTAGTTAAGTTGAAGGTTCCTGACAGAGGAAGATGAGAACTGGTTCATTACAGAGTGACTCTAATATCTCCTTAGTTCTCAATGATACTTATATATTCTTCCCACTGTAGTTGCCTTTTTCTCTCTCTATTCAGCACCAATACAATTCATAGGAATGAGATCATTCGGCTTAAGGGTAAATCATCTTCACTTCAACCCATCCTTCTTTGAGATAAACAATGCTGCCATTAGATTCTGACACCAGCTCTGCCACTTAATAACTGGACAGCTCCAGACAATTTACTTACCCTCTTTGAGTTTGTTTCCATGCTTGTAGATTAGGGAAAATATATTATGCATATCTCATGTAATTTTTAAAGATTAAGAAAGATGATCCATGTTAAGTACTTTATATAGTGCCTGTACCATGGTAAATGCTTAATAAATGTTAGCTATGATGACAAGGATGATGATTAAAACTAGTCTTTCCATACATTCTGCATACCATCCCTCTGACTGACCTGAGGTTATAATTATTCCCTAACTACTAGTAAAGAAGCTTCAATCTCCCTTCACTTCTGCTTTTAAACATTCCGAGTTTTCTCCTATTTTACAAAAGAGTGTGTTCTTTTCTTCCCTTTTCCAGCTCGTCATAAACACAGTATATTAGTCCATCCTTTAATTGCTATGAAGAAATACCTGAGACTGGGTAATTTATAAGAAAAGAGGTTTAATTAGCTCATGGTTCTGCAGACTGGACAAGAAGCATGATGCCAACATCTGCTCAGCTTCTAGGGAGGCCTCAGGAATCTTACAATCATGACAGAAGGTGAAGGGGAAGCAAAGTATCTTACATGGCAGAGTAGGAGCAAAAGATTGAGTGAGGAGGTGCTACATACTTATAAATGACCAGATTTCACGAAAATTCACTTACTCACTATCATGAGGACAGCACGGAGCAGATGATGCTACACCATGCGTAAGAACTCTGCCCCCATGATCCAATCACCTCCCACCAGGCCCCACCATCCATACTGGGGATTATAATAAAACATAGGATTTTGGTGGTGACACAGATCCAAACCATATCACATGGTTTTTCATTTCTATGACTCTTCAACCCAATTTATTCTTAATTTCCTGTAATCAAGCTTGTATCCTCAACACTTTAATTTTCTGTAAAAGTTCCCAATCACCTCTAAGCCATATTAAATATTATTTTCAAAGTCCTCCTAGTCCTTTCAAGTCCTACTGGGCTTTCTGTAGCTTTTGACAGAATTGCCCGTTTTCTCATTTTGAGCTACCACGACCATTGAATAGTCATTTTTCATTTTCTACTGGTGGTAGATTAAATTACTGGTATTACTTCTTGCTTTCCCTAAACAATATTATCCATTCCCTTGCAGTGGTCTTGTATGTAAAAGAATCCCCTGCTTCTTGACTTTCAACTTGACCATATGACTATAAAAAATGAGATATCAGAAGGTGTATCATGAACAAAGATTTGAAATGTGTTTGAATAGCTGGAGTTTCTCTCTTTTAAAAAATATTTAATTTTTATTTATTTATTTTTTGGAGAGACAACATCTCACTCTGTTGTCCAGGATAGTGTTCAATAGGGCAATTATAGCTCCCTGCAGGCTTCAACTTCTGGGCTTAAGTGATTCTCCCTACTCAGCCTACCATGTAGTTGGGATTACAGGTGCATGCCACTGTGCCCAGTTTATTTTTTCACTTTTTGTAGAGATGGGGAGGGTCTCACTATGTTGGCCAGGCTGATCTCAAACTCCTGACCTCAGCCATCCTCCTGACTCAGCCTCCCAAACTGCTGGGATTACAGCCATGAGCCACCAGGCCCACCCCTGGGTTTCCCCTCTTATGCCTCTGATTTAAAGACATAAAAAGAAAGGAAAATACAAAAATAATATGTGAATCAAGAGAAATTACTCCAGATACAGTTGGTAGTAAATAAACATAAGGAGATTTATCAAAATAAGACAAATAATTTCAAAAAGTCAAATAGACCAATAATTACAATAGACAATGAGATAGTAAAAAAAAAATTAGATAAAATATTGTAAATATAATTGAGTTAATTGGAATTGAGAGGCTCTAAATCATTTCTGAAAGCTTCCAGGTGATTCTAATATGCATCCCATTTGAGTCATTGGTCTAACTCAGTTTCAATAGTTTTAGTACCAGGCTGGGGGTTAGTTTAGCCCTGAGAATGTTACATAATTGTGGCCAATGAAGCACAAAGGAAAGTCTACTGAGGTTGGAGAATAGAAACGTCTTGGAAAAGTTTCCCACTTTTAAAAGGAGTCGAAGAAAAAAAAAGTTTTCTACATCTGCTGGGCACTGGAGCAGCTGCATGTAGCTCTAAGTCTGGCAAAGGGCAATGCT